GTTATTAATATTGGGCTTCTAAATCGTAATATGACCCACAACCTTTGATTCTTTTTTTTTTTTTTGAATGTCTGATTTTTAAATGGGAAATTGGCAAAAATAACACAAAAAATTATAATCTAAAATCTAACCAAAGACCCCGAATCCAATGGTAATGATTTTGCCACATACCCTCATTTTACTTCCTTTTTAATTATTATTTTTTTTTGGTTATACACCAAAATGACCCTTTTTAAATAGGAAAATTAGGGGAAATAACACTGAAAAAATTATAATTAGGTGACTAACTATAAAAAGCTATGGCTAGAATATTCTCTATAATATCTCCATTAACGACGAAAATATACTCAACCAAACGATCGGCATTTGCATCACAAAGTGAAATTGATTTGAGTAATTTTTGGGAAAATTATCTAGTAAAATGCAAAAATGCATTTACCATCAATGATCTCTTGTTCAAAGTACGACAGAGCCATTTTCTCAACTCACGATCCCATAACAAGCTTCAATTTTTTTTTTTGAATCATATCTTCGTCCAAATCCGATCACTTTCTCAATTTTATGAACCATTGTCACTGGTTTGTAATTCAAAGTCTATATTCGCTTTCGATTATGCTAAATCCGGTGACACGTTTTTCATTATCGAGTATATTGAGTGTTCGTCGCACTTGCATCCAAAGTCGTGGTGACCGCGATGGCAAAAGTCTCGGTTACGGCAGCGGTAGAGATTGCGGTCATGGTCATGGTGGAGCATGAGGAAATCGTAGTCTTGGCCCTGGATCCGACGTAATGACGGTGGTTTCAGAAATCACGGCGGTGGACGTTTATGAAAGTTGAAGATGAAAAAAGGCAAAAATGTAAAACTATTAGGATTTTTAGTTACTTATTACATTAATCTCTTTTGATAGCTATTTTCTTTATTCTGATGTCCAATATCTATAGTAGCCAAATTGACCCTTTTAAATACTACTGCTTTTCAGAATTTTTCTATGAGCAATAGTTAATGCAAATTGTTGCTTATGTTTTCACCTCTCTTTTTTTGTTTTTTCTGTTAAATTAATAAAGCAAAGGTTCATTAGATTATTGAAAGCCGACGAGTTCTGCGAAATATTGTTAATGGTGATACATATTTCATGTGACATCAAACAAAATAAAAACACTTTCAACTAAAATGATCGTGAAGCTCTCTCATTGGTCGAAAATCTTTAATAGCATTATAATTTGATATTGTAACTAATCTTTCTTGTATAGTTTCAGGTACATATCCTTGACATACTTCTAAGTTTTTTTTTGTTTATAAGAAAACTAATTGATCTGAACTTTCAAAGTTGTAGGATTACGCATGATCGATATCGATTCCATTTTAATTTCTATAGTATGTTATCTTATTTTGGTACACTTTCCGTGTGAACTTCTTGGTACATATAAGAGGCTACCATGTTAATTAGGAAGTCATGGTTATGGAAAAATATTCCACAGCAATGAATCTCTTGCAAGGTATGTAGGCTCCTTGTTTGATATTACATATTCACATCGAGAGATTGCTACAAATTGTGTAATACTCTTATAACAATATCAAAAAGCATTTATATATTAAAGTTCATATCACCAAATCATTGTGTGCAAATCTTAATTTTAATAAACTTGATCGTTTTTCCATTTAAAACGCGACCATTTCTTGATTTTCTAATGTAGAATTGAAACGTGAACATTTTTTGAGTTTTGTGTGGTGTATTTATGATAAGTTTGTGAGTATCACGGATGCGAATGTTGGGAGACATCAACGAATAAAATGTTCATGTGGGTGTATCACTTTTTCGGTAGGAATGTTCAATCAATTTTGTTTGACTGAATCCAATTAGAACCGAAACTAATTTCGTTTCTGTTACACGAACTTTTTCATATATCAAAAAAATGTTAATGATTTTATTTATTAAATTATTTTTAATGAATATGATTTTTTGTTAAAAAATCTAAGATATTTATTTTTGTCATATGTAAATTGTTTGATTAACCCGAATAATAAAAAACAAAAACAAAAGATTAAGATTAGAATGAAAATGAAGCTCAAGGATAGTACGAAAATGATATTAAATTTTTATATCTTTTAATTTATCTCCAAGATCTGAACCTTTGACATGCAAAACCAGGGAGGTTCCCTATTTGACTCATCATCACTGTTTGTCTTACTGGAAAAAAAAAACTAAAGTTAAGAAGTGACAAAATCTATATTTTCATATTTAGTTAGCTATAAACAGGTGTGTGAGAGATGAGAGATTAAAAAAAAACACCTTGAGTATAAGAAGATTTATCTGGGTCCAATATCTAGGCCGAATAAATTTGTAACTCAGGGATTCGAATTCATGCCCAATGCGCAAACATGCATCGCATATGAGCATCATAGTAGCCGCCAGTGGTGGATTATCCCGTGCCCACATACGCATATCATCAATAATATATGTGAAACATCAATTATAGGGCTAGGGTCAGTTGAGTCTAAACTCTTAACTTTCTTTTAAGAAAAAAAACACCAAATAGAAATATATATAAGAAGATTTACCGAATTCGGCGTGTATAATAAATACTCCAGAGGAAGTGATCGCTTTCTCGTAGCTATAATCCATTTTTCTAATGTCTCCCATGGCACGGATTGTGACTTGACCAGAATCGAAGAACTTGTTCAGTGCAGATTTTGTGGAGATCCCACTAGACCATGGTCGTGTTAGGCACCATCGCGCACTTCTTACCAAACTACCGACCTATTTCAATATTGAACATGCAAGTTATCAGAGCCGAAGAAGAGAGACGAGATCTACAAACGCAAGGTCTAGATTAACGTATGGTTCTCACAATTTTGAAAAATTGGTTTCAAAAAGAAAAAAAAAATGAGAAACTTATGTAATGCATTTGCTACTTTTTTATGGCCTCTAAATGGGCTACTAAACTGTTAAGAAAATGAAGATGTGAGGCTTTTACAAAATAGTAATACTAATCAATATCAAAATCTAAAATCCATTAACCTTATACGTCAACGTTTTTTGAAGGACCTTGTTGTAAAACGTCTACCTCTTTCTTTGTTTGACTGCTTAAATAACACACATAGATCAAATTATATTGGTTAATTCTTAGGGTGAATTAGGTGAATATTGATTTTGAGTTACATAATTAGATAAATAACACATTAAAGTAGACAATTTGGTATTTAACGATAGTCAAACCAAAAAACAAGAGGAAATTGACGAATTTGCCATTCTATTATTTATTAGTTTGTTAGAAATTTAATATGGACCAAAAAACATGTCATTTTTGCCAATTACTCATTATTGAAAGCCGACGAGTTTTGTGAAATATTATTGATGTCGATATAAATTTCATTTTACATCAAACGAAAAGAAAACACTTTCAAGTGAAATGATCAGGAAGCTTCCACTGGTCAAATGGTCGAAAATCTTTAATATCATTAATTTGATATTAGTAATCTTTCTTGTATAGTTACATGTACGTATCCTTACATACTTGCAAGTGTCGTTTTTTGTTATAAGAAAACTAATTAAATTGATTTAAACTTTCAAAGTTGTTGAATTACGCATGATCAATATCGATTACATTTTAATTTCTATAGTATGTTATATTATTCTGGTACACTTTCCTTGTGAATTTCTTGGTACATATGAGAGGCTACCATGTAAATTAGGAAGTCGTGGTTGGAAGAATGTTCCACATCAATGAATCTCTTGCAATATATGTTGGCTATTATATATTCACATTGATATATTACTGCAAATTGTGTAATACTCT